TTATTAAAGATAGAATATAATACTTAAGTTTTTTTTTTCTTTTTTTTCTTGATATTATGGTAGAACTTTTATTTTATTCATGTATATATATATATATATATATATATATATATATGTATATATACTTTTTATATCAAAAGCAAAAGATCTAAAGTTTCTAAAACTTTAGAATATTGTTGATGATATGCCATGTGTATATTTATTTATTTATTTCAATAATTACCTAAATAATATAAAAAGATAGAAGGAGATAAAAGTAGATAAATTGAATAATATCTTAAAGAGAATTTTTTTTTTTAAGCTTCAGAGAGGTAGCTTTGCCCTCATGTGTGTGTACAAGTGATTGATAAATTGAAAACTTGGCTAATAAATTAACCATATGTTTCATATATTGGCCACTTGTGGAACAAATTAGATATGTGGCACACAAACAAGAAGCTTGTCTTGCAAGTTAGATACATATTGGATGTCCAATTGGACATCACTACATAGCTCTTAATTAGTTAGTATATATAGGAACAAGAGTGAGGCATTTTTCACTCTTGTCAGTTCCTTTTTTGCTTCTAGTCTAGTTTCAAAAGTCCTTAGTTTTTCTAATCTTTGACAATAGCCATTCTAATTTTTTCTTCAATATATATGTTTTTTAATTTCTATTTTTTTATCTCTTTTTGATACACATCCTACTTTTTTATGTATCTTCTTTAAGTTCTTATACTTGAAGTGGTAATACTAAAAATTGATAGTATTGTAAGATCCATAAATACCCAATACAAGTGGTTGAATAGTAGGAAGTTAAGCAGTGTTAAAGACATTAATAGAATATGATTACATAAAAAAATATCAAAAAATATATACTAATTTTTTTGTAAATAAGTAATATTTCATATATTATATTATTATTATATTATACAAATTTTTATGTATATAATTATATTTAAATATAATCTAGTTAAATTTTATTATCAAAAATTACAAAAAAATATCAAATAGTTGTTCTAATATTCTATGGTTTTAAAAAGTATTCATTTTTTTAAGATATATTTATTTGAAATATATTTTATTTAAAAAAACTAAGATATATTTTATTTAAATATATTTTTAAAATTTTTCTTAAAATTTATTGAAATACCTTATTTTTTTTATATGTATCTTTAAACATAAAGAAGACATAATGCACCCTATGCATAGTATTAATTAATTTTCAAGCATCCATGATTTCAAATAGAGTAAGTCATTAAAATGTGCAAGTAATATGCTTGTTTTATCTAATTTTAAGATTAAAAATATTACAAATTTAAAAATCAAATGTTATTTCTAGTTTAAAAAGTGCAATAATTGCATATTATTCTTAGTTAATGAAGTAAAATTAGAATACTAATTCTTCTTTTTTATACATACAACCAAGTTATATTAATTAATTTTAAATATAATTCTAAATAGGATAAAAATTATACACATGCAGCAACACTTTTTCAATTGTTAAGTTATACATATTTATACATATCTGTTATAAGATTTACCTATACAGACCACAAAGTCATAAGAGTTATTAAAATGACATCAAATTTGTAATTTCTAAACCTATTATCATAAACATTGTGGCTAGTTATAAAATAATGATTTAAATTGTAGTTGTACAATAGAATTATATCCAAGTATTAAAATTAACAATAATATTTATCAACGCATTAAATGAGATTTTTTCTACTAGATTTATAAATTTCTAAAATTATAAATTTTAACTTGATGCAACAACTTTATTAGCATTTAATTAAAGCAATGTATTTTAAGCTAATTTATAACTAATACTTCAAATAATAATAAAACAAAATAAAAATGTTACAAAAATATTCTAGCCAAAATATAATTTCAAGACCTTATTAGATCAATAAATGACTATTTATTTTTATAAGAATGAAAATTAATATACTACAATATTGATTAAGAAGTCTACCATGATACACTTTGCATCTTGCAACTAGTAAATTAAATATTTACTTTGTTAGCATTATATTGATATTTTCATAAGAAAATCCACAAATTTAGTGCCTTTACAAAAGATACATCAATAAAAATAGAGTTGAGTCTTAAATGAGATTACTTCCTAATTTAAGCTATAATAATTTATTACCATCATAAAATTTAAAGTTTAAAAATATCAATTGCCAACAATAGGCATTGGCAATTGATGCAATAATACATGGGTAGCCAATCAATAACAGATGCAATGATTGCCTTCAACAAGTATTAATTATTATTCTAGCAATATATGATTGGTAGTTAATAATAGATGTGATAATTGCTATTACTAAGAATTGGTGATAATTAAGTCAATATATATTATTTTATAAATGATTTTTTAAATAAAAATATTAAAATATAATTCACAAATCCATACAAGTAAAAATGCTCTAAAAATTTGTGATACTTGTAGTACTACCAAAGAATTAATATTGTTCTAATATTACTAATCACTTGTATTTAGATTACTAACAATGAAAATAAAAAAAATAAAAAAATAAAAAAAATTGATGAACAATGTAGTTACAAATTAATAACAAAAAACAATAAAACAGGGAATATTTCAAAAGTAAAAAAGATAAGATAATAAAACAATGCAAGTGATGGTTGAAGCAATAATGATCTCAAAACAATCCATAGTATATGCACATACAACACCAAATAAGTATAAGAGCACCATGCTACAAATAGATTTAAGTTTGACATATCATTGCATAACAAAATAAGATATCTTAATTGACGAATACATAGGCTTAATATTTACTTTAGTGGTTAATAAAACTTTATTATTTATAAACAAAAACGAAGATAAATTTAATAGCATCTATATATGAAACCTTAAAATCTATAAGACCATCTTTTATGCTACAAAGCATGAGAATCTATAGTAATATATTTTTTTAAAGAATCCATACCTTTTTGTTTCAACAAATTGATTTATTAGAGGACTTTTTATTTGGAAATTTTGATAAGTAAATCATTACTTAAAATGAAATTAAGTAGAGATAATAAAGTAAATAAATATACTTAAGATATAAGATACCAAGTTTTTCTATTAATTTGCATTAAAAATATCTATTTCATATGTTTAAGTTTTTTAACATTATATTATTATCATGGTTTGTATTATTTACAACATAAATCATATCATTGATCCAATGGGCATATATAATTGATTAAAGTTTAATCAAATAAGATAGTTTATCTTTAATAAAGATACTCTTTGAATAATTTGAAAGTATATTCAAGGCCCAAAAAATATTATTAATTGTTGAAAGAATTTTTAAAGAATGTATTGACCAGTCAAATCAAATTTAACTAATCTGCAATATTTAGTGTTTATAAATTCTAACAAACTTATTTGAGAAACCATATATCAATTTTATCTAAACTTATATACAGACTCAAAAGAGCTCATCCCTCCATCTTATTTAACTAAATATTTTATGAAATAATTTATAAAAACTGAAAACAATTTGTTTTAAAAAAAATGGAAATAATTCAAGTCATATATACATGATTTTATTTAAGAAAATCAAATAAGAATATAGAGCTTCAAAAATTAAATTCTTTAACTATTGCAAAATAAATCTAAATAATAATAATATAATAATGACAACAATAATAATAGTGCACAAACCCTATATCTTAAGTTAACATTAATTCTTATATTGCAACCAAATATACCAATATATTATTTGATATTTAAAATTATTTATTTGTATATTACATAGTAAATAATAAAAGATTTTTTTTTTTAATGAATTCTTAAAAAAACTTTTAGATAAATATTAAACATTAATAAAAAACGACTTTAAATTTGAATAGACTCTTTTTTATGCCTTCATACTATTAAATATATTTGAGCCATTTGTGTAAGACCAAATTACTAAATTTTGAAATAATTAAAAGATAATATAATTATATTAAAAATATATCATTTAAAAAAAAAAAATCTTCACATCAAATATCTATGATTAATACAATAATTCATAAGTTGACGATTTTAAGATTGTCTTAATACAATAATTTTATTTGGTATTTCTTATTATTGAATATATAAAATAAATCTACTTAAGAAATGATAATATTAGTATTATTTTTTTTTTTTATCTCAAACTGTATATAACCTCCTCTTTAAAGTTGAATAATTGCTTCTTCTAAATTGTGTACTTAAGATTCTTTCATTTTTTCTTAGAAGTTGTATCAAATCTAAGAGACATATAAGTATATACTTCTAATTGGAATTAAGATCTAATTATGTTTTAAAGATACTTTTAAATTTTTTTAAAACATGTACCAATTGGCACTCATTCACTCATCATCTATCTCTTTTAATACAGAGAGATGCCTAGCTACATAGGATAAATAACAAGCATTCAATTGTTAAAGTAGCCTAAATATTTGCAGCAAATGTTCAAGTTTCTAAATTTAAGACATAAAATACACACACACACACACACACATATATATATATATATATATATATATACATACATACAAGTATAAAATCAAAAGTAAAAATAATTTCAAAATTAATTTTTTAATATTAAATAGGATGAAATATTTAAAATTCATCAAAATATTTTGATATTGGAATCCGTTTGGACTTTTTGTCCATCCAACACCAAGTATAAACTGGATACTTTTTCGACTATGACCTTAATTTAAAACACGTAACATGAGTTGAATCAATAATATATAAATAAACACAAAATTTGAAACAATCCCTAATCATTGACCATGTAAAGTGACAAATAGATAAGCAATACAAATAGCTTAACGGATAAAACATTTTCATTTAAACCAGCCAAGATATTATGTCGTCAACTTAAAAAGGCAACGAGCAGGTTTACAATGAAACTCAATCCAGATCGACAAAAGAATACTCACAACTTCATCCTCACGTTACCGGTTACAGGCCATATTGTGAAGGAAAGAAACTCAGAGACATTCAAAGGTTCATCGATGCGAAGGGGTAGTGGATAAGAGACAGGATCCAACGTCACAATTACAATATAAAAGGGTGGCCCTGGGGTGGGCAATACTGAAAAACATTTGAAGTTGGCGGTCGAACATCTAAAAAAATATGGTGTCTGCATGAGAATCTTCCTTCGACAAGCTGCACAACAGTCTAGAACTGCCTAAAAATGAAAAATATGGTTCAATCAAGAAGGTGATCATGTTACCCACTTGGAAAAAAGCGTGGCCACCAGTAAAAAAAAAAAAAAAAAAAAAAAAAAAGAAAAAAAAAAAGAAGTATCAGTGCTTGACATCGGGGTCACTATCCTCGGAGAATGAACTAACGCTCTCTCACCCTGTTCCTTTCTTGGTTAAACCAAGAATCGTTGACACCATGAGTTTGCTGTCGATCGGTTTTGTGAGGTATGCATCCATTCCCACTTGCAGGCACTTCGCTTCATCGGATGACATTGCATGGGCAGTTAAAGCAACAACCGGTAAGTGCCAATCCTTTCCCTCCTCCGCTTTTCGAATGGCTTTAGTGGCCTCGTATCCGTCCATTCTCGGCATCTTTTCGACACAAAGACTTGTATTAGTGACTTCAATCAGGTGCTAGACAGCCAGGGCTTTCATATGTGTATCAACCAAAGAAAAATGAAGAAAATATGGACGTTGACTGAATAATGTACCCTAAATTACGCAGGAGATACGAGGATATCAATGCACATGACCACATCAGATTAATATCCAAGCAGCAATAAAAAAAATGAGATCATACATAACAAAGTGTCTCAAAAGGAAGTATTGTTCGGTAAGTGATGATTACCTGACAATCCATAAGCACAAGATCGAACTTGTCTACAGTCGGAGGAGTCGTGGATTCCCCAGTCTCTGCAACGTTTTGAGCTTCACGAGATCTGCCAATAGTTTCAACAGCTTGTAATCCGTCACCCACTGCAACAACGCGCGCACCCATCTTTTCCAACATGATGGTGGCAACTTTTGCCAAAACTGGTGTGTCCTCAGCGAGCAGGATGCGAATGCCAGCCAATGCATTACTGGGACCCAACCGATTCGCAGAAGCCTTTCTGGCTGGAACACTTCGTGTACTTGGCTTTGCGTCAGAGGCGGGTCGTGAGACAACAGGATTTGGTGAGGGCGAAACTTGAGGAGGAGGAGGAGGTCCAGGGGATTCTATCTGATTACTAACAGCATGAAGAACAGTTTCATTCTTGTGAACATTTTTCAAGTCTCGTTCTCTAGTTCTGTCCTCAAGTTCATGGAGGGTTCGAGGAACCCCAATGCCCGGTGGATCGCCATTCCCACGAATGCTTGGCTCCTTAGTCTCATTCGAATGAGTAACTAAGGCTTGTGTCTTGGTGGCATCCTGATTAGACCAGTTCGATGCATCTTGGGGTTTAGATGCCTCTGAATGTGATTGATTCGATAGAAGACTCATGGATGGAGAGATATGCACGACATGATGACCATCGCTTCCATCTCCTCTAAAATTGCTCATGGGTAATATTGAAGGTGAATCTGCGTTAGCAGAAAGAAGAGGTGTTTCCGGCAACTCGCTGGAACCGCCGGTGGCATCAATATTCGAGCTAACAGGTACACTAATTGGATTACCTGATGGACCATAGTTACTGAGGATAATGGACTCTAGTTTCACATGCTCATGTGTCAAAGGCAAGAACCCCTGAGCGCCGCTTGGATTGTTGTTAACTGAGTTTCCAGGTTTTCTTTCAATCACTGAAAATCGCTTAGATCCTTGATCCGTGCCTCCCAGGTCCTTAGAAGGTAGATCCTCCAGCACCTTAGGCAGAGACTTGCTGGATCCTGAAAGCCCGAGCTTGCTCTGAACCTGATGTAAGGTGCCACAGCCTCGATTAAGTCCAAATGGCACGTGAACAATTTCACCGAACTTTAAAATAACAGTGTGTATCAGGTGATCACTGTTGCATCTAGATACCAATTTTTACTCAAGACTACCGTTTGCTCTTAGAATCGATATCAGATGTCATCTCATTCAGCGTAACTGCTAGCAAAATGACTGCAGAATGATCCCAAAGACACCGGTCACAAAGGCAATTCTCGTAACAGACTGAAACTGCGGTTACTCTAAATTTTCATACAGTAAACAAGACACATACCTGTGACTGTTGCTTTTCCAGTTCATAGCGGTCAATAGCAGCAGATTTGATGTCGTCAAAGTATCCTGAATTGCGGTGTCCGTTGCTCATTACAGGCGATGCTTGAAGGTCGAAAATTGAATGCCTAGAGCTTCCTCTTTCTATGCATCCCAGCATAGAAGTCAATAATTGCAACAGTTTAGACTTATATAAAGGTTGATTTGCAGTGATCGAATAACCTCTTCGCCGCAACTGCGTCTTGAGCGCATTTGGAGTATCATGTGTGAAAAGCCATGAGATCAAAATGCCCCGATCTCTAAATTCATCTAATACATCAAGCATGGATTCGACTTGTTTCGAATTCTCCGACCAAGGTATTAGCTCAGAGTCGAGTACAGCTAGAGACTTGAAATTCTGCATCTCCCATTGCTCTGGATTTCCTGATAAGACCAAGCTTACTTCATCGTCAGGTATCTCCTTAGCATCACGAGATGCTCCGATTGATCGGCCAGATTTTCGATATTTTGCTTCGGGCGAAACGAACTCACCTTCATCAGTGCCATTACCCCAGCTACCGCTATGCTCATCCGTCAAGAGATCTTCAAGAACTTGAACTGCTTCATCCCACTCAGATGCCTCATACACATGAAGCCCTCTGTAATGCATCCATTGAGCCAGAATGCCTCTTCCTACATCTCCTTTCATTGCAAGTAGCACCTGACACACACACACACACACACACATACAATATTAACGGGAAGCCATATACCTTGAATGTTGCACTCAGAAAGTGAGGATGATTGTTGCAACAGCGAGCCGTTAGTTTCAGAGAGTACAGTTGTTCTGCTCACCTTAGCGTTCTCCAGCTCGAAAGGAACAGACATACGAGGCATCTCAGGTTCACTATCAACTGGTTGGCCAACCACAAGGTACAAACGAAGCAGTGTCCCAGGCCCTTCTTTCTTCACAATTTTGATGTCTCCTCCCATTTTCCGAACCTGCAGTCAGTTGATCTCGTCTTAAATGGACTGTCCATTTCAATTTGCTAAAATAGTCCTTCGTTCAACCGAGAGAGACGTCTTGCTACTTTTGTAACGCAGTGGAAAGGAGATGAATCACTTACCAAAGAACGAACTATACAAAGTCCAAGGCCTGTTCCTCCATACCTGAATAACAACGAACAAAGAAGGAATAAATAAAAATATATAAAAAAATAACCAAAACATAGTAGGCGAAAGTCAATCGTAAAAAGGACACACAGTACCGATATTACTAAACCATCGCTGAGGTAGTACATTCCCAACCAGATAAACTATGATGCTATCACAGAGAACACGCATAGAAACTTTACATACGTTCTAGTAGTGGAGGGATCCGCCTGAACAAAACTGTCAAATACAGCTTCCCATTTGCTCGAATCAATACCTGCCATAGCATATTTCGAATTTGCGATGTGAGTGGAATATAGTAATGGAGATCAAAGCATAACTCTGTTTTAATCCTTCACCTTTGAAATAATAATATTAACCTTTGGCTTTTACAGAGTTGCAATGACATCAATGTACCACTGTGTAAGCTACAAAATTAAGTTTCACCTTCACTATATCAACAGAAAATTTGAGAATGATAGTACTACACCATGAGAAATTAACACATAATAATGCTACGTATCGTCGACAACGTTATCAGCAGTTGTAGATAGCACAAAGGAGGAATAACATGCTTTTCGCCACTAAGAGGGAAAGGCTCAGAAAAACGGAGATGGAGAAACACAAGAGGCTGACTCGTACCACATCCAGTGTCTTCCACTTCAAACCACAGAAGAAACTTTCCCAGATCCTGATTGTTAGTTCCCCCTGTTACATCGCCCTGCCAATTTGGTTCCCACATATCATTTGTGCCAAACAGCAACCCACTCCTCATTGCATTGGCTGACATGTTTGTAGAACCGCTCCAACCTCGAAGAATCACATGCCCAGCTGTTCGACAGAACAACCAAAACATATACAAATGAGTTGGTCTTTAAGTGGTAGTGGTGCCTCGTAGGATGCTGTTTCCCAAACATTAAAGAAAAAGTTAATCTCAAGATTCCGAAGGCGTGTGTAGTTGTTCTTCAATCTTACAAGAAGTAAACTTGACAGAATTCGCAATCAAGTTGGCAAAAATCTGTACTGTGCGTGCAGAATCTCCTCTGACCATTCGGGGCATATCATCTGTCCGTAGTAGAAACATGAGAAATGCTGAGTTTAGCAAGGACGCAATTGACGATCTATATTTCTATATTCATATATATGCTCTTGTTGCGTGGACGAAGTACGTGTATTTTGCAGACCTCAAATTTAATAAAGGAAAACTACTTTGAGAGCTCATGCCTTAAAACTTCTTTTGATTGAAACAATGCCCTCCGCACATTGACCTTTTCAGGAACTAACATTTTGTATCAATCAGAATGTATCTGATTCCAAATTAGACAACTTGTAGACACTTCCATAGATTGGCAATATCTCAAAAAAAGTATTTGACAAAGAAATTCGAATAAACTTACCAGCTAAGTCCAGTACAATCTCAATGTCATGGTCCACGCACTGCACTGAAAACATATCCACTAAACCTTCAAGCTCCCGGTTAAGATCAAAATCGGCCGCTTCAAGGACAAGCTTGCCGGACTCCACCTGATTCGAATGAAACTACCAGGTTATGTCAGACCCCAGAAATAAAGATCAACTTGGAGCATACCATTTGTCTCTTATGTTAATTCGAACTGCTAACAAGCACTAAAAGTATGGCTATAATCCTTCACCTTGACTTCGACAGGTACAAACTAAACCATCATAAGTGCCGAAATACAACTAAAGAGCACCTTGCTGATATCCAAAATGTTGTTCAGTAGGCGAAGAAGTGCTGTGGAGCAGCGGCGTATTTGAGACACCATGTTCACTTGCTCCGATGAAAGACAATCGTCAGATAAAAGTATGTCCAGAAGACCTATTACAGCAGCCATCGGTGTCCGGAGCTCGTGACTACAAAAATAAAATGCAACAATTACAAATTAATTCAAGGTTCAGTGAAAGAAGAAGCCACATTAGGTTCAATATCAGATGGTACGTGAGAATACTTGAAATCTCGACCCAGTGGACACTTAAAACAAACATCAGAAGCCTGCACAGAAAAAGCAAATACCTCATGTTTGCTAAAAACTGACTTTTGTAGTTACTAGATGCCTCCGCTCGCCTTCTTGCATCCAGATGTTTGATTAGCTCAGCTCTCAGTTTCATCTCAGTGGACACGCCACTTGTAAAAAATATGATAAAGACGCAGCCCACAAGAAGTATGCAACTAGAGATTGCAATCAATATAGCCAACGTGGCTTTTCCCCTTCGATCAACTTCCCCCATTACATACGTTCTTGGTATGATAATCACACCAACCTGCGAAACAATCCGGAGAATACAACGTCAGCGTTCACATGCAAGTTAGACGGATGCAGAGGATTGTGGAACCTCCGTTTGCAAATATCATGGAGTTGCTAAACGACTGGAATGACAAGTGAGCATGGCTGCAGTTATGAACACGTCCATGTAGAAGGCAGGATAACGCTACATCAAACGCTGAAATTGTTCAAATCTAGTAGCAAGGAAAGAAGTTATTTTCTGCCAAGTAGACAGTGCCAGATGCGTTACCATTTTCAGTCGGGGAAGCGACAAACAAAACGTGTCGATGTAATAACGTTTACCCTCCAGGACGACATTCTCGGCATGAACCACCGTTTGCACTAGCCCCTCAAAACCATAGCGTTCATTCAGCCATTGAGCCCCAGCTTTTATGACTGCGTCGCTGGATTCATTAGCCATCACAAGGGTTCTAATGGGCCCCGAGGTGTTTATCATTGATGAATTCGTGGAAGCCGCCAGAAGCTGACCCTTCGATGTTGTTAAGTACAAGTAGCCGCTGTGCGTAGACGTGAGTTCCCGAAGGAACTGGCTAATACTGGAGAGTGCAGTTGTGATGCCAGTCACCGCCACAATCATGTCTGAACCCTGATGACGAATAGGAGCCGCACTGGACAAAAGCGGTGTATCCTCGAATTCACTGACAGTCACGCGCCATGTGACCTCGGTGTTCCTCAGAAATAGCACGTCGTCGATACTTTTCGACAAATCGTATGATTGAGTGACATTAGGCGGAGAACTGGATCCACCGGTGTAAGAGTTGACCGTCTCGGTGTACCAGGTTATGTTGCTAGTATTAACAGGACCATCCGGCCACGTCGTCACCGGAGCATCTGTTAAAGGAGCAGCAGCAGGAGAGGGGCTAAGCAAATCTACTCCGCCCAAAGGGTCGCCAGCCGATGCATTTGTGTATACATAGATGGTATTGTTGGTGGTCGAATCTCTATCAAATGCTTGCAGTTGGCCATTTCTGTATGCGACTATAATAGACTTTGCAGATTTCCGACTAGCGAAAATCGCCCAAGTCGCATTCCTCATGCTCCTATGAACCTGCAGAAGTGTACACGTGCATTCCAGATCAATGTCGTCACCAGTTTGTGTTCCGGTAAATCGATAGAGAATTCATCCTTTCACCGGCACCCTGTGGAAACTGTGATAGTTGAACCACTTCAAAACATGTTCTCGTCTTTAACGTGTGACTTGATCGTGCATTTGAAACGGAGTAGCGCGTTTCGTGTATCTGACAATTGGTGCTTTAATGTAAACATTGGAACCAGAAAGTTGAATGCTATGACAATGAACCCACCTGCACTTGCGTGGCTGCATCCATCGGAAGAGTGTATTGCCCTACCACGAACTGTGAGAGCTGGACCTGGCTCAAAGTGGCTTCAACCGTGTTGTTCAGCAGGTTCCACATGCGAGCAATAGGGCGGTTCAAAAGCTCCGTGCGTAAACCATACGCCAAATTCTTGATTGATCTTGTGGTGTACACCGTGGTGAAGTGCCACGTTAAAATGGTCAACAACGCTATCAAGACAGCTAACATGATCTGCCGAGGTTTACATAAATCACGCAGAATTCCCAAGTTAGATAAAAGACAAACTAAAATACCAAAACAGAAAGTTCATTCAAATGTCGAAAAGGAACAAGCGCTGATTCAAAGGCAAGCCAGATTCCTCCCACTTTCAATCATGCCTACATGGATGGAACTGCAAATTAGGTCTTCATTTATATAATTTTCTAGCAGTTGCAACAATTTATTGGCCACTACCAACATTGACAACAGCACCTTAAGCTTCTATTCCTTCTATTAGCGCGGGCGTCGTTTTGAACGCTAGGATACTTAGCGTGTTTATAAACAGCTCATTTCGAAATACAAGGGTGGCTGTAGAGAAGACACACACCATGATCGCCAGGCGAACAGAGAACATGCTGTAGTAGTATCTTCGACGATGCGAACGTCGAAATCCATTGTCCTGCTGCTCATTTTCAGGATCGAAAGCACGCGGCGGGCTAAGCCGGCCCCCGCGGCAACGATCATAACAATGAGAGAGCACCGTGAACCACTTCGTCATGCTCCCCCACATTGAAGAAGCACAGATATTCTCTGGTGTGTCTTTAGCTGGGGACTCATGCTCTCCTTTCAACTTTTCTAAATAAACTGCAACAGCACTACCAGTGCGTTAGAAACTGAAAAGAAATGACGATTTCTTAAGTATACATTGACGTCCATCCGACACACCTTGCCCTACACCATGGGCAATTTCGTAGGCTTCTCTGATTCTTGCACACGATATCACATACATTTAATCTGAAAACTTCTTAGACCGTCGACGACGCGTCGTAGTGTGATACAAAATAGGGCGGATCGGATGTATTAAAGCGAATATGAATGAATGACGCTAAAGAAGACCCCTCTATTTGTGGCAATTAACCTAATTCAACAAACCTGATCTCGACAACTTTCAGGACAATGCTGAATCTGAAAAGAGAAACACAAATTGATGGCAACAACGGCTTCACATCACGCTCTTGTGTGTGAAAAGAGAATACCGACAACATTCGCGACCTCCAGTCATATACTCAAAACATTAAACGGAAAATTGAGCATGAGAATATGCTCTGGTGAGAAATTTCTGAAGGATGGTGCTTATATCGCTGAAACATTACATGGAGCATCCAGCACAACTGCGCAGAATCTTTCTGCTCTGACTGCTGGGACGCAACTTGTGGGTGCTAGATGTTGCTCACTACTCATCCTCCTCAGCTGGCTGCACAGCTACTTACCTGTGCTTCAAATAAAAGACAAATTTCAGAGACCAGGAAGAAAGCAAACGGACATGGAGAGAATACGGTCCCCACGCACATAATTGTCACAATGTCTGCAACGAAGTATTAAAATTTGCAGACGTTGACCGGCGACAACTACGTAGACGTCTAGAAGAAGATAAAGCGGCCGCTCATTTCTGACTTACGGAGAGAATCGTAGGGAACCTCATTTTGCAAGGATTTGATGCACCCATATCCATTTCGATAACTCGCCCAAATTCTCTCCCCAAGGCCCTCGCCCAGTGTTCAAGTTATGCTCTAAGGTTGATGGGTTGAATACGAATGACAAAACTGCAGTCATTAACACCAATATTGTCAAGCCCCATGAGCTTGACTGGTACATCGAAGTACCGCGGTGGTGAGCACGACGTCACATGGATCCCTGGGCCACACCAGGTTGACCTGATGACTTGACCTGATATGATTGACTACGGCGCCCTCATCATATTTCGTACGAACTACGGTCGGCTGCGAGGTGTATCTTTCCGGGATATGGTACCAGCCTTGAACCCAATCAGAAAGCCAATAACCCCAAAACAACTTCCTCAAATCCTTCACTCATACTCAACTCATGATCTCGCACGCGATGGCGGTATCCCCTCAATGTGCCTCGCTTCTCCAACGAAACAGCTCCTTGACATGAATAAGAGTCGCAGAAGGGTTAAAAACACCCTTCTGCCGACACTGCTACTAAATCAGCCCCACTGATTCTGGGGATAAATCTCTCCACAACCTCCGACACCAGCAGTGTCCGCTAGAGCTTGGCAACCCAAACTTCAAGAGAGCAAGAGGAGCACTGTACCATTCTAAGACGTCCCAAGTGAGGCCTCCTGCCGCTGGTGACGACACCGAAAACCCAAGATAAGGGATTCAGGTGCAAATCGCCTAGGCCAACAAAAAATCCGCTGAACAATCTGCTGCAAACGGCGACGCGCCAGGAGTCAGAAACACACAAGGAACACAATTACGAGCTAACCCTAGATGGTTTCAGTGGGTTCGCCAGTCAGTGAGCGAAAGATCACGGGAAAAAGAGAGCAGACGCGAGGAGAGAAGAAAGTGATGGTGAGGGAGGACGCGGAAGGGAGGCCATTCCATCCAACCCGGCCTGACTGATGGCTCGGGGCTTTCGGAATCATGCCGAAGAAAAGAGATACAGCGCGAGAACCAACAAAGAACAGGGCATTTGGAAGGCAGGAAGCAATCGAGGGGGTAGGGAGTGAGTCAAGACTGGCCTTGTCTACTTCTGCTTCTTTTTCTTCTTCTTCATCAACGTCATTTGCTCCGCTCCTCTCCTCCTCTTCCCCTCCCTAGCCTTGTTGCTCTGGCATGAGTCCGCATGACATGTACTCTAATCACGCCTAAGCAGTCCCAGACCCACATCCCCAGTCCAGACCAGCATTCGATTTTCAATTCCCGCACCGTAATCCCTTTCCAAGTTACCACGTTTTGTCGCATCCGACTTCGTCCTTTCCTCTCCGTTGACTTGCGTTCACGTTCCTGGTCGAGCGACACCCCACTGATCCCCTTCTTTGGACCCAGACCCCATTTATCAAACCCAATCCCACTTTCGTTCAGGCTTGCCTTTCCGGGTCGTGGCTGCTGACTGGCCAACGTCGATGGCGAAACTCGGGGTTATCCCATTTCAGTGCCCGGCGGAGCTGTGCCAGTTCAGGCCGTTTCAGGTGCGAAGGGATTCTCCTTCTGCCTTGTGACTCAGAATCCGCAGACGCGACAGATCGGCGTTCGTGGCGCTCTGGCACCGGCTCGATGAACAGCTCAGATTGCGACCAGGTGACAATCGGAAGACCGCTAACTGTGGTGTTCCACAACTTCTCACACCAATCAGGTTTGAGCCACATCGGCCGCGAGATTGCAGTCACATGTATGCATTGCTCTGGAACGGCATCTCTCTCTCCTTCCTGCTCCGAAGCCTGCGGGTAATCCTGTCTCCCACTGCATGTGAGATGTCCGCTCTGGGACTCTCGTGACAACACTTCCTGAGTTCTTGTGTTTCAACGCAAACCCGCATCATCTACAACACCACTCAACTAGATTCGTCGCTTGCATGCTTACTTGACAGTATGTGCTACGTATGTCGATCCGGAACACGAGGTAGAATTTTCAAGTATCTCTCTTCAGAGCACATGCTCTGGTGGTGACGACGATGACGCTGCTGTAGCAGCCCAACGTCGGCACTTGGATTCACCATCCAAACGCTTCACACAACTTGTCAGGTTTCGTATTTACGGATCAGATGCAGGCGTGGTGAGTAATAATATGGCAGGGCCATGACATAGTTGCCTCGGTGGGGCAGAAACTGATTACAACTTTGCTGTAGAAGTCTTCCATAGTTGAAAACTTTTTCGTGCACGTGCTGTCCTACACACACACACATACCATTATATATATTTATGTGTGTGTGTATATATATATATATATATATATAACGGTGTGATAGTAAAGCTCAGCGGACTCAGAAAAGTGAATCTTCCTTCAGCAGGCGTAGAAGGATTTTTTTTTTTTTTTTTTTTTTTTTTTTTTGTGCACAGGCTCCGGCTTGATTAAGACATTAAACATTCATTGTTGCTGCTTGTTTGCATATGTTTGTTTGTACGCGAGGGTCCATCCAAGTGACTGGATATTAAGCGTCGTCCAACTGCACCAGAGCTATGTTCCACGTCCTTCACGGCGGCTGGTTCCCCGTCATTGCACCGTTGAAGAAAGAATCCAAAAAATAATCAAAAACAAGAGGAAACTGAAAAACTAGTTAGGCTGGGTGAGGGCGTGGATACAGTATAACACTAGACAGAAAGGCAATACAATAAACGTCACCGTGTTTAGAAAACAAGCAAAACAAATCAACAGTAATTGCAAACGCACTCTAAGCGAATCCTCCCCGTAACAACTTCACAAGCCCATTCATTCATCCATCCACAAACTCAATTGTTCATTCATTTACTTTATTTTTTCATTCATTCGTTCCTTTTGTCAAAAGAGCATGGGAACGTGCTCTTGTGATCGTTGTTCCCAGTGGCAGTTTGCTGCATCTCCGGGCACAACGTTCCATGTGGATGCAATTCTGTCCCTTCATTACATTTGTCAGTATGTCCATTCCCACATATATTTATTTATTGTCCTAAATATTAGTAAGCTATATTTAAATGTATATGTTTCGGTTATTGTTTCTTATATAAAGCATATGAAAACAACCAGTTCCCCTAAACATGGCACCAATGGGCCCTTCTGAGCTTCCCAAAAGGGCAACGTGAGGACGTTTCCTCGAAGCTGGGTCCTGAGGACCCATCATCGCCATCATCCTCACCGTCCATTTCGAGCCATGGAATCTTGTGTTCGTTTAGTCTTATCATGACCAGAATTCTTCACCACTTTATTGGAAAGATAAATATCATGTAGACATGGGGCCCTTTATTGTTACGTTTGAGTGTTTTGTACAATGAATTGATTAGGGTGTAAAAAATGCTTGCATGAGTTCAGTTAACAGTTCCTTGCAAAGTGCATGGTTTATGTTACAAAATTTATCCTAGTGGTTTTTAAGTTGATCATTAGATCATCTTTAAACTAGTTTTCTATGAATAGATAATAATAATAATAATAACAACATTACAAACACACTACAAAAAACTTGGCAAATACTTTATAACCCAATATGCAAAAAAAAATAACATGAAATATTAAGACATATTATAATTAACAAAAAGTCGCAATTTGTTAATTCTTGTATGAGCTTGTGTTTAAATTTTAAACTACTTTCAGAAAAAAAATAGTAGAAGATATGTGTACTTCCTTTTTATTGGAAATAACAAGCAATGCAAAGACATTACATTTTCAAAAAGTCTAATCTAGTTAAAATTTATAATATAATTAAAGTTACGATGAATCAATGGAAATAACCAAGTAAATATCAATAGTAATTGCAAATTACATAATACACTTGTCATCAATATATTAAAGGTTTTTATATATTTTTTAGATTTTAATTCAAGATTTTATACTATAGTTAATATATATATATATATATATATATATATATATATAGTCAATTGAGAAAGACGACAACAACATATTAATTAGCTAAAACATTTTGCCAAATATTGGATGCTTTAAGCTAATGAAAAATAAATTGTTTAGTGGTTTAGACTCTCAAAATATATGATAGTATAAGTTATTATTATTATGATATCTGTTGAGTAGATTTGTACATCTATAAAAACATAAAGGACCATAAAAACAAGAATAATTCACATATAACTTCAAACCGGAATTTTAATTAGAAGTATTTTAACTTTAAAAAGAAAATTTTATCATATTTTAATGAAATTTAAAATATAATAGTAACATGTTTGGGTTTAAAATTTATTGGAAAAAATTTGGTAAAAATTTGGAAAAAATTAAAGGTGTTTAGATATTAAATACAATTAATCTTCTACAAAAAAAATATTTTCTCATATTTCAGGTATATTTTAAGTAGCTACCATAATATACATCTAATAAAAATTAATGTGTAATTAATTATTTATTAATTATTAAAAATATGTATTAATATATTAATTTAAAAATTGCAACATTCTTCAATAGAACTGAATACATAGAATAAAAAATTATACAATTCAAATGATGGAGTAATAAAAGAAAAAAAATAACTAACATTTATTGGAATATTTAATATAAAGTAATAATTAAGAATAATTTTAAAGGCTATATGTATAGGTATAAAAAAGTATTATATACCCACATAAATAATAACACCCATGGTAATAAAAACAATACAACAAAAACATAGTTGTTTCCTTATACTTGAATTTACTAGTTTGATGTTTATACAATTATATGTATTAAGTGTAAATAATAATTTTTCATTATTTGATAGTTTTATTATTATTAATATTATTAACTATGATTGAATTTTAAACTTTGTTTAAATTTTATTACAAATATAATATTAATATATCAACAATTCATAATTTAACAGTATTTAAATTCATAACAAGTCTGCTAAAACTATATAATTTAAAAGCATCTCTCTAATGCCATTCCAAACCATTACAATTGAAAATATAAAGTACTACCTTATATCTATTCTAACATCATGTTGTTAAAACAACTTTAAAGTTTTAATGTTTGTATAAATTAAAAATTATTAATATCTTTATCATAAAAACCACAATATAGTAAATCAAATTCATTTCAAGATTTATTAATATAATAATTATTACTATTTCACATACAATAGCATGCACAAATACAAGTAGATAAAAGATGATAAGAATAGTATAATAATAATAAATTAGATTTTTTTTAATAGTGGTGATACTATACTATGTTAATTTTATAGTAATAATAAGAATAAAAGTAGAGGGAAAAAATTATCAAACAACAAAATAAAAATCAATAAATAAATTTTAATGCCACTCTAGATCTTGAAACACAAATAAGAAGTATATACAAAAATATGTATATATATATATATATATATATATTAGAAGTTGTTAAATCCACACTCCAATGTTATTAAAGCAACACTCCATCTTACTATCTCATAATCAACTCCATCCATCCTCATCTCCATCCCTTGTTCAATATCCCTCATCCCTTGTTTCCAACTCCCATCCCTTATTCTATGTTCCTCAAAATTAATCATCACATGGTTTGAAAAATGTGGGTTTAACAATATTGGGGTGTGGCTTTAACAACTCCATATTTATATATGTATATATATATATATATATATATATATATATATATAATGTAAAGCATACAATTGAATGTTTAAAATAGAGCACAAAACAACAAAAATACATGATTACAAAAGTGAAGAAGGATTTGCACTCAGTAAATTATATGTTGATAATTATTTTTTAATTTAATTTTTAAAAAATAACGTTTTCACTTTTGAAAAATAAAAATCTCCATCAAAAAACATTCCAAAATCCATCTTGGTGCAATTCTAAATATGATATAGAAAACATTTATACTTCTACTTTTATTCTTATTATTATTTTTATATAATTTGATTAGATAAATGTTTTCACATAAAATTATGTGAATACATGATAATTAGAATACATGATATAAAAAAAAATTATCTAATAAAATCAATAAAAGTAAATTTAAGTAGTTTTAAAAACATAATTAGAATGTGAAACCTGTATAAATCATGGGATTTGACCATAAGTTGAAGTTACATACAGAAGATATATAGTACATA